AAGCCCAAGCCCAAGCCCACACCGTGTGGCTCCCAGATTCCTGCAACAGCTCCCGCTCCCTCTTCCCTGCTCAGCTCCTTCCCTGGCTCTTCTGTCTTTTCTCAGGCGAGCAGCCAAAGGGATGCAGTTAGAAACCTCAGTCACATCATGTCTGTCCTCTCTCAAAACCCTCCAATGACCTCTCTGTCTCAGCATAAAAGGCCTTCGATGGCTCACTTTATTCCCTGCCGCAGCCCCCAGCTTCTCTTCCCCTGTCTCCTGTTACCCTCTCCATTGCTTACTCAGCTCCAGCCATACTGGCCTCTTTGTTTCTCAAACAACACAGGTCTGCCTTGAGGCCTTTCTACTTCTCTTTCAGAGGCCAAGTGTTCCAAGCAGAGCACGCTTCCTTCAGGTCTCTACTTAAAAGTCACTTTGCAAACACACAGAATGGCGACAATGAGAAAGATGGACACAACCCCGTGATAGCAGGGACGTGGAGGAACTTGAACTCTCACACTTGGCTGGCAAGAGTGTGAATTGGTTCAATCACTGTTTATCATTAATTACTAAAAGTACACATACACCAATCCCATGACTCAGGAATTCCACTCCTGGGCAGTAGACAAGAACATAGCAGCTTTACTCATAATAGCCCCAAATTGGAAATGACCCAAATACTATCAACAGGAGAATGGATAAATTGTGAAATACTCATAAAATGGAATACTACATGGCAATAAAGAGAACAACCATCTTTACATGGATTAATCTCACAGGCATTATGTTGAGTGGAAGAAGCCAGGCACAGATGGATACATACTTTAGGATTCCATTTACCTGAAGTTCCAGAGCAGGTAAATGTATCCCTGGTGATAGAAGTCAGAGATGTAGCTGTTTGCTCTTGGAGGGGGTCGACCAGGAAGGGGCACTAGAGAACCTTCTGGGGCACTGTAAATGCCCTATTTCTTGACCTGAGCAGCAGTTACATTAGTGTTTATAAAAATTTATCAAGCTGGCCCGGCCAGTGTGGCTCAGTTGGTTGAGCGTCATACCTTGCACCCAAAGGTTGTGGGCTTGATCCCTGATCCCCAGTAGGGGGCGCATACAGGACGCAGTCCATCGACGTTCTGCTATCACATCAATGTTTCTCTCTCCCTCTCTCTAAAAATTTAAATTTTTTTTATCAAGTTGTACATAGCTGTACCATTTACATACTTTACGTATGTTATACTTGGTAATTAAGAAAAGAGAAATTCACTCACCTAAAATAGCCTTTCTACCTTGTCATCACCTCTCCCCCTTATTCTGATTGATTTTTATTCATAGCACAGATCATCAGCTGACATATTTTGCTTATTTATTACCTGTCTCTCTCACTAGTCTGTGAACTCCACAAGAGCAAGGACCTTGTTTTGTTCACTGCTGTATCTCAGAGCTTAGAACAACCCTTGGCACAGAGGAGATCTCAATAAAGACCTGTTCAATAAATGAATTACTATATTGCAGCTTCAGCTCCGGATATACTTACAAATCAATTTTTTTGTCCGGAACGCGAGATACTCCTCTTTCCTGATAATCAGCACGATGACAAATTCACACAGGGCAGCTTTTTCCTGATTGCAGATTACAAAATGGGTTTGGGGACAATGTCAGTCTCTGGGTTGAGTTGCAGGCACTGAAATTTTACTGACAAAAACATTTATTTGGTTGATTTCTGGGCCCAAACCTAAGAAGACAGAGGAGTGGGGGATGTCGGTTCACATTTCTCAATCTCCCAGGGTTTTCTAGTTGTTCGGTTTTCTTTCCCCAGCAGCCGGACGAGGGAAATGAATAAGCCATTATCTCTCTGAGCCAAATGACTGTGCTATCACCAAGATCTTTGACCCTGGAATCAGATAGAGAGAAGCAGATCTCAGGAGATGTGATGTAGCGAAATGGACAGGCTGGAGGAGTGGGCTTTCCAGATCTAGAAGGCTCTTGAAAGGGTAAGCAATATACAACAACAACAAAAACACCGTCTTAAGATAGAATTTAAGTACAAAAGTAAAGACATGAAAAAGAAAATGGGGAAAAGATTTTTGAGAGGCACCAGGGCCTGAAAATGATAAATAAAAATGCAACTTTCTCAACTATAAACTCAAGGTAGCAAATACAGCTTATTGAGTACCTACCATGTATTTGGCATTTAATAGGTTTCACTCAGTTTGTCCTCACTGCGGGTATTTAGGTTTACATTATTGGCCTCATTATTTTATTAGAGCTCAGGGAATTGAGGCTCAAAGGCTACAGCCCTGGCCGGTGCAGCTCAGTCGGCCGGGCGTTGTCCCCTGCACCGAGAGAGAGGTCGCAGGGTTCTACTCCCAGTTAGGGCACATGCCTGGGTCGTGGGCTCGATCCCCAGTAGAAGGTGGGCAGGAGGCTGCTGATCAATGTTTCTCCCTCTCTCTCAAATCAATAAAAACATTTTAAAAAGGCTACAAACTTTGTTCACAGATGATGAGAGAAAGCCCTGGGATCCCTGCCTAGGTCTGATTTTAAGGACAAGATTATCTCCCTATGTGGTAATAACTCCCTACCCTAAATGCCTACAGTTATTATCTGTGCCATTTTATCTGTGCCGTATTATCTGTGCCACAGCGTATTTTACTGTTTTATTACTTATTGGATCTCATCACTCCACTGCCTTCGGGTTAAGGTCCGATGGCAGGCTTGGCTCCCTATGGCATGCAATGCTCTTCCACAGCCTGACGCCCACCATCCTCCCAGCTTTCTCTCTTCCCATTCTGAGCCGTCCTTGGTGCCAGAATGATTTTTGTCAAAAACTAATTCTGATCCAAACTCCTGCTTCAGAACCTTTGCTTACCCTGTTACTTTTTTGATAAAGCTCAAACTTCTTGCATATACCTCTACCCATCTTTCCAGAAGCCACCCCCATTCCAAATACCCCAAAACTTCAGCCACACCAAACAAATGCATTGTTTTCTGTGCGGAAGATACTATTCAGTGCCTCCCTAGCCATTCCCATTTGCCTTCCTCAGCCCTTGTCACAGATAGGTCCAACGTCCTGTACCTGTACATGAGTTGTTTCTGCTCCACGGAATTGAACCCGGATCTCCTGGATCCTAGGTCGATGCTCAGCTGCTGAGCCACGCCCGGCCGGGCTGGCTATAACTTTTATACACCTGTATACAGCTGTTGGCCGCAGAGCTCATTATTGACATGTCAATTCAGATAATTCTTTGTTGTATTTGTCCTGTGCATTGTAGGATGTTTAGCAACACCCCTGGCCTCTTCTTACTAGATGTCAGTAGAATCACCTCCTGAAAGTGTCACAATCAAAGACATCTCCAGATACTCCAAATATTCCCTGGGGCTGGGGCCCAAAATCATCCCTGGCTGAGAACCACTGGACTGAAGGAATGTCAGTGGCAGAAGGCAAGAGCCCCTGGCTGACTGTTACTCCCTTACTTAACCACTAGAGGTCTCCCTAGACCCCATTATAATTCTAATCTGGAAACTAGTACAGGGCTATGGAAATCACCAAATAGACGGGCATCCTGCAAATACCTGACCAGAGCTCCTCAAAACTGCCAAGGTCATTAAAATAAGTAAAGTCTGGCCCCGCCGGCATGGCTCAGTGGTTGAGCATCAACCTATGGTCCAGGAGACTGAGGTTCAAGTCCCGGTCAGGGCACATGCCTGGGTTGTGGGCTCTGTCCCTGGTGGGGGCGTGCAGGAGGCAGCTGATCAGTGACTCTCTCATCACTGATATTTCTCTCTCGCTCTGCCTCTCCCTTCCTCTCTCTGAAATCAAGAAAAACATTCTAAAAAGGAAGTAAAGTCTGCCCTGACCGGGTAGCTCAGTTGGTTAGGGTGTCATCCTGATACGCCAAGGATTTGGGTTCCATCCCTGGTCAGGGGACATACAAGAATCAACCAGTGAACGCTTAAATAAGTGGAACAACAAATCCATGTATTTTCTCTCTCCCTCTCTCTCTCTCTCTAAAAAGAAAGTCAATCAATAATTTAGATGATGGATTTGCTAGGATTTTGATTTCTGATCTAAATGAAATCATGTGGTGACTATAATGAGAAATGCCGCCAGCACAAATCAGTCACGCACGTCACCTTATGCAGAAGTATCAGGTATGAAAGGCAAAGACTGATACCAAAGAAAACTTATAATGGAATAAAGGAGCTCAACTACTTTAATAATTCTTAGAGACTTTTTTCACCCTAACAAGTAGGTAAATGTGACCTGAGTGTACAATGAGAATGTCAACTCTCATATCTCACTGATGCCCCTTTGGAGGTGGCGCTATGGTTTTTTCCTGTATTCAGATGAGGAAAATTGAGTCTCAAAGAGATTATATATGTGCCTAAGATCATAGAGCTAATTAGTGGCAGAACTAAAATTCACATTTTTATGTCAGATTTTTAAATCCTTGCTTTTAATTCCTATGCAGTATTTCCTCCCTATATGTGACAGCCGGGTTATTCACTGTTGCTGTAGAGTATGTGGTTATGTAATCTCAAAAGTTGCTGAACAAAAAAACGGAAGACTGGGTCCTCAGTGGGCTCGGGATACCAACTTCTTTACCAGAGAACTGTGGATAATAATACCTGTCCTGCTCACCTCACTGGGTTATTTTAAGAGTCAAGTGTGAGAACATATGAGAAAATGTCTTGCAACCTGTGAAGCACGGCATTGTATCATTAACACATTTTTACTTTTGCAGTTTTTTGTAAATAGGTCTGTGAGCTAATTGCAAAATGTGTGGAGACGCTTGAGGGGAGCTTCAGACCTGAAGGCTCAGAAGAGAATTGTGCCAGCTTCCAACCCTCTCTTTTAATATAAGATCCCAAGTCTGGGGTCTTCATTGCTGACTGCGCTTACCACCTGGGGAGCTTTTAAAGGCTATCACGCCCAGGTTCCACCTCGGACCAATTAAATCTCAGTCACTAGGAGCGGGGGCAAGGGCACTGCTGTGTTTAAAAAGCTCTCCAGATGATTCTAATCTGCAACTAAGGTTGAGAAATTGCCGACCTAATTGATCTGAAGTCAGCCCAGTTCCCCGGGGCCCGCCATACCCTTCCTGCATGGTCTGCTCGCACTCCCAGAAACTGCTGAACTTGGAATACTGCCATCAGGCAGTGAGGCTAAAATAAAAGTCTGGTCATCCAAGCTGCTAGGACAGCTGACAGTATTGTCATTTGACTAAAGAAAATGGATCTATTTCAGCTTTATTCGGAGAAGAAACAGTCCAGTCACGGGAGGAGGAATGCTAAAGAGGCTGGCTATGCAGCTATTGAGCTCTCGGCCACAGTGTGGGCCGGGCTGGCAGACGGGCTGCCCCGAGCCTCCGCAAACGTGGCCCTGCAGGTCAGTCCATCAGTGTCGTCTGAAGACCTCTGTTGAGAGCCTGGGCCTTGGTGCCCGGCAGAACAAAGCATCAATCAGCTTACAAGTTGGTGAGTAAACCGCTCTGTTCAAAAACGGAGGCCACAGCCCTGGCTGGTTGGCTCAGGTGGTTGGGCATCTTCCTGTGCACTGAAAGGTCGCCGGTTTGATTCCCTGACGTCAGGGCACATGCCCAGGTTTCGGGCTCCATCGCCAGTGGGGGGCGTGCAGGGGGCAGCCGGTCGATGTTTCTCCCCTCCTTTCCTCTCTCTCTAAAAATCAAGAAACTATTCTTTAAAAACAAAAACAACTACAAACTGAGGCAGTAGAAGAGACAACTGTTGGGCGAGAGTAACATTAGGTGTGATACAGAGTTAACACAACCCAGAGCTACAGACTCCTTTGCTTTAGAAACAAGGCCCAGGTTTCCACATGTCTTGCTTCTCAGGGTCTTGGGTGGAAGGATTCAGGTTACAGCTCTGGGAGGAGAGAGTACTGGGATGAAGCCACCTGGGGAAACTGAGGGTCCCTGTCTCTAGGGTCTGGGCGTCACCTTGACAAGTCCAAGAACTCATTTTGTCATAATGCTCAGAAGTGAGCCATCTCCTGGGGCTGGGCCCACGTTAACCAAGCTCACAAGAGTCCAGTGCTGAAATATACAGCGACCAGACTCTGATGCCACATCTTCTACCTGTGAGAAAGGTAACAACGTGGGAAGCCACATTTGAATCATAAATTATCCTTGAACATCAAAGGCATAATTAATTTAAGAAATGAGTTGGGTGATCTTAAAAGATGGTATCATCGAGCCACAGTAGGCGCATTCAGCCTCCCCGTAGGTGTGAGCAGGTAAGCGGCGTGAAATTCCCCAGACTCTGGGGCGCCTTATATCTGGACCATCTGGGAGAGTCACTGACACATTCTTGCTCTTCAGGGGTCACTTTTTCAAGTCAGGGGTCTCCAAACTTTTCTGATTGTGTGACTAACAGCAGAAAGTTTTTTAATCCATTTTTTGAATCATTTGTGGATAATTTTGAATTTTGGGGGTACCATCCTCTTGTCAGACCTGACAAGAAGGTTAGTGCTTTTACTGAGCAACGTGGCAGACTGTATTCAAGGGACGAGAAATGACCAGCTTACCTTATTATGAACCACGTCTGAGTGGCTATTTCTCCACATCTTCTCCAACACTGTGTCATTGAACGTTCTACTACTTGCCAATCTAAGACTGAAATAGCACCACGTTGTAGTTGTACTTTACATTTTTTCTTGTTATAGGTATGGTTAAATATTTTTCCATATCTTTACCAGCTTTTTCTATTTCTTCTGCAATGAATTATCACTTCATATCTTTTGCCTTTAGAAAAATTAGCCCTTCGTCTGTCCTATGTGCTCCAAATATTTTCTTTTCACAGTTTCAGACATACTTACAATTCTAGCTCCACTATTTACTAGCTGTGTGACCTTGAGAAAATTACTTAACCCCTCTGAGCCTACGCTTGCTTGTCTGTAACAGAGGGATAATACTATAGTCCTCAATCCCATATTTGAAACCCTGGGATAGACAGATGTTTTAGATTCTAGAATCTTTTAGTACATATACAGTATGTTACATAAAACCCTACTAGATGGGATTAATAAAGCCTACGAATGACCTCGTATCACTTTAAGTTTGCCATCAAGTGAGCTGCATCAAACTTACATTTCTTTTTCAAAGTGGAATATGGGAAAATCTTCTATGGTATATTACAGTGGTTTGTTGAAAGTTAAAAATTGTGCAGAAGAGAGACATCCTCAGTGGCATCGTACCAACGGCGAGATACAAACTACTGATTAGATAAATATTGAGACGAGCCTACCTGGGGAGGATTGGCAGTGAAAAGATACTCAATGAGAGTAATAGTAGTAGCTTATGAAAATAAAGGAGAGAAACACAGTAGTATCCTGTCAAATATTTTTTACCCTATGGATTTTTTTCTTAAAATGTTTTTTCTGGGTGTGTTTTTTTGTTGTTGTTGTTGTTTTATATTTTTACTGATTTCAGAGAGAGGAAGGGAGAGGGAGGGAGAGAAACATCAATGATGAAAGTCATTGATCAGCTGCCTCCCGCAGCCCCCTACTGGGGATCAAGCCCGAAACTCAGGCATGTGCCCTGATCAGGAATCGCACAGTGACCTCCTGGTTCATAGGTCAACGCTCAACCACTGAGCAACACTGGCCAGGCTGCCCTATGGATTTTAATGATCGACTACTACTGCCCTGTTATTGTTCCATATGAGCTCCGTCAAGCTTCCTTTTGATGTTCAGAGCTTTCTGGATTTTGGAACTGCGATTAAGGCATGTACACCTGTGGTGTCTTCTCACAGGTTGTTGTGAAGACCGGGTTAGATTAAGCCACGCTTGGAAAGTGTCTGTAGCAGCTCCTAGAACAGGAAGCACCAAGTAACTATTCTTGTCGTCATTTAAAATGGGACGGCTAAGCCCTGCCAGCTCTTGGCTCTTGTTTCTGGGCCTTTCGCTTGACTTTGTGGGGTGGTTTGATGTTTGAATGAGTTTTCTTGTACAGGTGGTTGGGATATTTAAAAAGAAGAGGCAAGGGGCATTTTAACTCTTTGGTAGTAGAAGAATAAATGGGCTTTGGAACCAGAAAAATCAGGGCTCAACTTTCATAGGATCAGCTTCCTTAAAAAATGGGGGGATGGCCCGGCCGTCGTGGCTCAATGGGAGTTGAGAGCTGACCTATGAACCAGGAGGTCATGGTTCAATTCCTGGTTAGGGCACATGCCTGGATTTCGGGCTCGATCCCCAAAATGAGGAGGCAGCCGATCAATGGCTCTCTCATCATTGATGTTTCTCTCCCTCTCCCTCTCCCTCTCCCTTCCTCTTTCTCTGAAATCAAGAAAAACATTTTTAAAAAATATGGGGGGATGCCCAGCTGGTGTGCACTGGTTGAGCATCGACCCATGAACCAAGAGGTCACCAGTTCGATTCCCGGGCAGGGCACATGCTCTGGTTGTGAGCTCGCTCTCCAGCGGGCGTCGTGCAGGAGGCAGCCACTTGATAATGTTTCTCTCTCATCGATGTTTCTATCTCTCTACTCCCCTCTCTTCCTCTCTCTCTAAAAATCAATACTTTTTTTTTAATGGGGAAAAAAAATACCTATCTTGCAGGTTGCTTTGAGGATTAACTGTAACTAGATAGAATGGGAGCCGCTCAGTGAACGATAGCAGCTGTTTCAGGGCACACAGCAGGGCTGAGGTGCAAGCTTCACCCACGCACAGTCTGACAAGCACTTAGTCAGCCGCTTCCATGACTGAAAACGAGGGACTTGGACAAGGCTCCGAGAAAGCGCTGACTGCGCGTAGAGAAACAAAGCACCGTTACCATGATCCGTCTGCGGGAAGATGGCACCAGGCCCTCCTTTGGGACTCCACGTGTGGGCAGAGGTGGGAGGAGGGGTGCAGGGAGGTCTGCCGGGGCCACCCCCTCCCCACACAGGCGGCCGGAGAGCCTCCCAGCTGGGAGGGGAGTGAGAGAGCCCCTGGCCTTTGGCCTTCAGGATGTTGCCACTGTACTGTGATTTTAAGATGATGGTTGCTCCTTTTATTCTGTAATATCCCGAAGCTTTAGATTTAATGCTCTCGGGCTACAAAGTGAGACTGCTATCTCTTGATCACTATATCCTGAGGCTAGGCCCTATCCCTTTCTGCTTAAATCCCTCCTGAATTCAACTGCCATATAATCCTGAGGGAGTGCCTACTAGGTGCCAGGTGCTGAAAAGACAAAGAGATCCGATAAGTTTCCATCCCAGGGGGGACTGGCCGAGAGGAGGGGTAACGGGTAACTCTTAATGGGGAGCGCGGAGTGGTGAGTGATGTGGCGGAGCTATGAACAAAGAGCTACCGGGGATGCTGAGAAGAGAAAAATTAAATTTCCTCGGGAGGCTAGGGGCATTTGATCTGATCTCTGGACTGAGTCATCAAGCCAGAGGCTTTGAGATGAAATGAAGAGAGGAAAAAGCAGAGAGGGAGGGCAGGGGGGCGAGGGAGCAGCAGGGACAAGGGTGTGAGGCAGTAGGCATATTTATCCATTCGTTCAGTTATTTATTCAACAAGCAGATATTGGTTGAGTGCCAGGCACGATTCTTGGCACGGGGGATACAACAGGAAGTAAGACAGACAAAGTCTCTGATGTTCTCGTGGAGTTTACACTTTAGAGTTGGATGGGACTGAAAACAAATAAATAAATGAGGTAATTGCAGAGAGCGGTATGTGTTGTGAAGAAAAGCTGGTAGAAGGAATGATGGAGAATACCTTGGGGGGGGGGGCGGATGGGGGCATGTAAGATTGGGTAGTCAGCGGATGCTCCCTGGAGGAGGCGTTCGACCTGAGAACCACGTGGCACAGAGGCAGCCTTCTGGAGCCCAAGCGTTCCGGGTGGAGGGAACAGCAAATGCAAACCTAGGCCCAGGGCTAGGCCTGGTGCATTTGAGGAGCAGAAAGGCCGCCAGCTGGACTGGAACAGTGTGAGCAAAGGAGGGATGGGGAAGACCAGAGAGGGACCGGCCTGGTTCGTAGGGCCTTGTGGGGCATCCTAAGGAGGTTGTTTTGAAGAAGTGCCATCTGGCTGCTGTATAGAGAATGGAATGGAAGCAGGGAGGTCAGCTGGGAGGGGTTGCTAACTCTAGGCAAGAGACGTTGGTGGCTCCGACCAGGGTGGTAGCAGCAGAGACAGGCATGTTCAGAGAAGTGGAGCTGACAGGACCTGCCGATGGATTGGTGTGGGGGTGCAGGAAAGGAAGCTGTAATCATATCAAATGCCACAAGAGGTTGAATAAGATGAGCGCATAAAAGTGACCTTTTTTGCCCTAGCCAATTTGGCTCAGTGGATAGAGCATCAGCCTAAGGACTAAAGGGTTGCAGGTTCAATTCCGGCCAAGGGCATGTTAAAAAAAAAGAAAAGAAAAAGTGAACTTGTTCATTGTAGTAGTGACGTAGATGTGGGAACAGTGGGAATGTGAGATTGGAGAGAGAGGATGCTAGAAAAGAATGGTTGTGAAGCCTTTGGGAAT